GAGGTTTGGTTGCCACCTAAGACGACTCGAACTGGCAACATACAACGCACGCACCCTGAGGACTGACGAGAAGATCGTGGAGCTGGAAGAAGAGATAGATAAGTTACGCTGGCATATTATAGGATTATCCGAGGTCCGAAGAGAGAGGGAGGACACGGTAATCCTCGAATTCGGCAACTTTCTCTATCACCGGGAAGGCGACCATTTGTCCCAAGGAGGTGTCGGATTTATCGTCCACAAGTCTCTCGTTAACAACGTTGTAAAGATTGAGTGTGTCGACGAGGGTTGCGTACCTTATACTCAGAATCACCAAACGGTATTCGCTGAAGGTCATACAGGTTTACGCACCAACCTCAGCACATCCCGATGAGGAGGTGGAGGAAATGTATGAGGATATCTCTAGAGCCATGCATTCCTCAAAAACCTATTATACGGTGATAATGGGAGACTTCAATGCAAAACTAGGCACAAGAAAGAACGGTGAGCTGAAAGTAGGGAAATTTGGAATAGGGCAGCGGAACCCCCAAGGGGCCAGCAGCTGGCCGACTTCATGGAGAAAGAGGGACTCTTTATGATGAACTCTTTCTTCAAGAAGCGGCCCCACAGGAAGTGGACCTGGTCGAGCCCCGACGGTTCGACAAAAAATGAGATTGACTTCATTATGACGACAACTGTTCAGTAATGTCTCCGTGATCGCGAGGGTGAAAACTGGTAGCGATCACCGAATGGTTAGAGGCACACTGAACCCAAACGTTAAGTTGGAGAGGTCTTGTCTAATGAAGTCAACGCTCCGTCCCCCTCGTGCTCTGTTCCAAAGTCCCGAAACCTTTCAGCTCGAGTTACAAAACAGTTTTCAGTGCCTAGAAGACTGCAATGAAGTGGACGATATGAATGACAAGCTCGTGGAAACTGTCCTTGCGGTCGGAGCTAAGTTCTGCAAGACCCGCCGTAGAAGAGCACAAAAACTCTCCGATTACTCTCTTAATCTCATGGCTGTTAGACGGGAGATGAAGCTACATTCTTCAACAGATTTGACAGCATACAGGCAACTGAACAGACAGATCTCCAAATGCATGCGGCGGGACTTGCGCAACTTCAATACAGCTTGTATTGAAGAAGCGATCGAGCGGAACCAAGGCCTTTGCCAGAGATCTGTCTGCCAGACAGAGCCAACTGTAAAAGCTAAAGACCGAGTGTGGCAGCATCGTTTCCGGGACACCTGAGATTTTGAGTGAGATTGAAAGGTTCTATGGGCAGCTGTACACGTCATCGTTGGAGCCACACGCAAGTGTGAGTAACGATCAAAGAGTGAGTCTTATCCGACATTATTCCGATGATATCCCGGACGTCAGTCTGAGCGAGATTAGAATGGCTCTCCAGCACCTTAAAAACGGCAAGGCCCCAGGCGAGGATGGAATTACAGCGGAGCTTCTGAAAGCAGGTGGAAAACCGGTACTTAAAGTCCTTCAGAGGCTCTTTAATTCCGTCCTCCATGGTGGCATTACACCGGAGGCGTGGAACAGAAGTGCGGTGATCTTGTTCTTAAAGAAAGGCGACAACGCTCTCTTGAAGAACTACAGACCGATTTCCCTTCTGAGCGGCGTCTACGTGCTGTTTTCGAGAGTCATTACGAATCGTCTCGCGCGCAGACTTGACGACTTCCAGCCTCCCGAACAAGCCGGTTTCCGAAAATGCTTTAGCACCATAAACCACATACATTGCTCAATGACCTCAATAGTGTCTCCCAACGGATAGGTCTTAAGATGAACATGGACAAAACAAAGATCATGTTTAACGTCCAAGTCACACCTATGCCGGTAGTTGTTGGGAGCACTAAGCTCGAAGTTCTTGACGAGTATGTTTACCTGGGACAAATAGTCCGACTAGGTAAGTCCAACTTCGACCGAGAGGTCAATCGACGAATTCAACTCGGCTGGGCAGCATTCGGGAAATTGAGGCAAATCTTCTCGTCAGGTATACCTCAAAACTTGAAAACGAGACTGTACAACCAATGCGTGCTGCCAGTGATGACCTATGGAACTGAGACGTGGTCCTTCCCTGCTGGCTGGATGAGGAAGCTCAAGGTCGCTCAGCGAGCTGTGGACGGGGCTATGCTCGGAGTTTCTCTGCGTGATAAACTTAGAAATGAGGATATCCGCAGTAGAACCAGAGTGACCGACATAGCCCAACGGATTAGTAAGCTGAAGTGGTAATGGGCCGGCCATATAGCTCGATGAACCGACAACCGATGGGGAAGAAAGGTTCTAGAGTGGCAGCCTCGTACCGGCAGGCGAGTGTAGGGCGTCCTCCCACTAGATGGAGTGACGACCTGGTAAGATATGCAGGAGGTCGATGGATGCAGGTGGCTCAGGACCGTGCTTTGTGGCATTCCTTGGGGGAGGCCTATGTTCAGCAGTGGACTTGTCAAGGGCTGTAATGATGATGATGATGATGACGTCCTGGATAAATTCTCCGGCTAATAAAGATTAAAATATTAAGTTTAATATAGTACATAGTAATGTATCTTATTTGTAGGCAGTTATCTGAAGGCTGTGAGTTTGAATCTCGCACGAAATTCAAATCCGTAATGATAAACAGTAATTTATTCTGGTATTAATCTAGATAAAACTAAATGATTATAAAGAACTATATCGATATCAGCTTTTTCCTTAAAATATGTAGTTTTAAAGAATTTTTTTAAACTTTTAAGATTAATCTAAGATAGATTAATCAAAGTCAAAGTACTGGTGTACAAAAATATTTTTTTAGATTGATCACAAACACTAGATTGATTCAGTGAATAAATCCAAGAGAACCCATCAGATTGCCTTAATTTGCCCCCTTAAATTGCCTTTAGCTTTAATGAGTGAATTTTGTTTAATATAATGTGGTTCTCATGTCACCTATACTAGGCTAACCAGTAGATTAGTAGATAATGCCTAAAGGCATTAAGTCTACCCTTGTTTAATGTAAATGTCAGGTATGACAACAAGCAAAGTGAGAAACTTTGATTACTGGTGATCCAAAACACACGAGCCAAGAGAACAAAATGATAAGATTAAGCAAAGTAGGGCCACAGAAGAACAATTTAAAGACATTTCTTAGTATCCTATCACTAGGAACGGGCGAATTGATGGGAGGTTGACACTTGTTATCTCTCCCACCCCTCCATCAACCTTGTGTCTAGGTGATCTTTTTATAAAAATGTTATCTCCATATTAGGATTCACATTAATTTATTTTTAAGTAAAATTATAACTACGAACATGGAATGGAATCCATACTTTTTGTTATTGTTACTTTCCTTTCAATACGGATACTTTAGCTCTTGATAACTTTTAATTGATACTTGTTAGGGTATACTTTTTGACAAGTATTATATAGTTTTAATAATCCATAATTAGTCTAAGGACTAAGACAAAATACTCATAAAACATTTTCTTAAAGCCGCATTTAGCAGTCATTGTTTCTGCAAAAACACTGTAATTCTGTCAATTACAAATAACTTGGCTTTATAATATATACCACTCTTATAGATAGATAGACCAAAGCATCAAAACAGTTAACAAATTATTGTTTTTGAGTGATTGTATAGAAAAAGAATGGGAAGTTGTTAAAAATTCAAATACAAAATGATGTATTTAAAATATAAGTTAGTAAAAAATGTGGATTAATTAATTTAATTATCATGGATTTGACAAGTGTCAATACCTCAAAGCTATCATTTTTGTTTTGATACTTTTAATTTGATAATGTGGCCCTAAGTATAACTGAAGAGTTATCTTTTGTATGAAATTTTCAAAAATGCATATAAAAACTATAAGCTTCCACACCGTCAATAGCAGAGGGAAGCTTCCACACCGTCAAGAGTAGGTAAGTGCTGAGACCACGAAGGGCAGGTTGGACATCAAATTAAATGGATAAAGAACAACTCTACTATATTCTGTCAAAAATAAATAAAATGAGTGTAAAACTAATAAGTGTCACTTTTTAACAAAAACTGCAAGAATTATTATTTTCTTTACATTTATTGATTGACCCTGTATGGTATATTAATCTTTGGTACAATTAAATATAAGTGTAGTCCTTCCTGACTGTGGCATGCAATTTTTTTAGGAGGTACCACTTATCAGTTTTGCATGCTATTTTTATCTTACTACTTTAGACAGAAGCTGTATTTCAGTAGAGTAGTAAGTAAGAAAAGCATGCAATCACAAAAAAGTAATACAATTGCTTTGTTTAAACAACAAGATATCTACTTTTTATAAATAACTGTTCCAAGTTACAACACAGGACAGACAAGGAAGTAAGAAAATTTGAATGTGCATGCAGTTTGTATTAAGCTACTGATACACCAAACTAATCATAATTTGCGTTTTTTACTTCCTTTTTTAATTGAAAACTAATATGCAATAATTTATCGATATAGTAACTCAATTTAATATTGTTTTTTCCAATAGACTATATAACCTTGAAATCGGTTTTAGAATATAGACTGTCATCAACAATGAACATTGGACTTCATTCCAGCTTGTCAAAATTTTTAGGTTAAAATAATATCAGGAATGAGTTTGATAATAAGCGTAATAAAAATAAATACATCGTATAACTACTTTCTTTGCAAATATGAATACCGTGCCAAAATATATTATGCAACTTGGTAGGTGCCGACCGAATAACAACAACAAATCCATCTATGCACATGTGGTTTGTCAAGTCATGTAATACGATGCAATAGTGAAATACACATACCTAGAACCAATGTTTATTAAATTCACTTCCTTTTCAATTCCTCCTGAATATAGTATGTTTTTCAGCGTCTAGTACTTTCTTGTAAGAATTTGAAACAGCAAAATGTGCGGAACATTTGGAGGACTATAAGATGGCGTAACAACGCTCGGTTGCCGGGTGCCATTTATTGACAAATCAACAAACTTCAATTCTTTACTGTACAAAGTGGAAACTGGACACCATCTACTTAATAAATACTAATAGACTTACCTCCCACGTGCACACACTTTCTGGAAAGAGATATTTTTTCTAATGTAATGGCCAGTTTCAAAATCACCAAAACAAGAAACAAAAGCCAAACAAAATTAAACGAAATGTGCTGTTACTATGTTACTCTTACCGTTTTCATCAAATCCATGGCCTTTTACAGGACACCATCACGAACAATATATTGCAGTAATATTACATATATGAAAAGACTGCGGTGCGGAATAAAAATCTTGGAACGGAATCAACCTCGAGGCCATGTATCACCAATTCACCAGCACATAACAGGATGTGACAAAACGCGCGCCATTTGTAACTTATTCTCTTGGCCAATAGAATTACGACATTTTGGACAGAGACAATGTGTATAGATAATTTTGTGTTGAATGTTGCCGCTCTGTTCAGAATTCGGATGTTACGAACAAAATATTTTATATTAAGACTCTTTTACACTTTCCACTTGTAATAATTAATCTATGCTTTAAACCAGAGGCACGTAGTACTATTATTTATTCTGTGCCAGAGGTATTATGTTATAGAGTCCATTCGTAAAGAAACGACGAAAAATAAACTAATAATAATATGCGGAGTTTGTAATAATTCTGTAAAAGTCATGGTACAAAAACAAGTCTGTTGAATATTATATAATAATACTAAAATATACCACTATATTTCTATAATACTACATTCTTAGATTAATTACTCTTTAGATAACCCCTCACGCAATGGCTACGATGGCTATCCGAGTACAGAACCAGAGTATTTAATCTATCTAACTGCAGAGAGGTGTAAGACAAGGTAACGTTACATCCCCGAAACTCTTCACCGCTGCATTGGAAGACGTTTCCCAGCTACTGGACTGGAAAGGATATGGTATTAACATAAATGGCGAGCATCATTCGCCTTCGATTTGTCGATGATATAGTCCTTATGGTAGAATCGCTGGATGACCTAAACACTATGTTCAATGACCTCAATAGTGCTATCCATTATAGGTCTTAAGATGAACATTGACAAAACAAAGATCATGTGTAATGTCCATGTCACATCTATGCTGGTAATTGTTGGGAGCACTAAGCTTGAAGTTGTTGACGAGTATGTTTACCTGGGACAAGTTCGACTAGGTAGGTAATTCCAACTTTGACCTAGAGGTCAATGGACGGATTCAACTCGGTTGGGCAACTTTCGGGAAATTACGACACACCTTCTCATCAGGTATACCTTATAACTTGAAAACGAGATTGTATAACCATTGCGTGTTGCTAGTTATGACCGTACGAGGAAGCTCAGCGTGCTATAGAAAGGGCTATGCTCGGAGTTTCTCTACGTGATAAACTTAGAAATGAGTATATAATCACAGTGACCGTCTTAGCCCAACGGATTATTTATTTATTTATTTATTCTTTGTACAGTTAAATCTTAACTATAATATCTACAAAAGGCGGTCTTATCACTCTGAAAGTGATCTCTTCCAGACAACCATTGCGTAAAGAACTGGTGCAAACAGTAGTTAAAATAGAGGAGGGCGTAACAAAAAAAAGATTGAAATACATATAAATAAAGATAAGTGAAAATTATATATAATATGATATAATAGATTAAATGAAAAGAGTAAGAAAAAGGAAAAATAATTTATCTAATAGCGTTCTAAGTACCTAATATGATTTAAAAAGACTTTTGAAAGAATGAAAAGATTTAGCACAACGAATGTGGAGAGGTAGAGAGTTCCACATACGCACAACACTGAGGATTTCTTAAAAAAGGAGGAAGAGGGCAAAGGAGTAGAGAGAGAAAGATTGACAAAGGATCGAAGAAACCGATTATGTGTAAGGGAAAGATATTGGAAACGGTCTTTTAAATAATGGAGAGTGGAAGGCATTAACCTGTGCGGTTCAAGACATTCAGGAGTCGAGATACAAACCCAGGTTTTTAACCTTGTTACTGTAAGGGTCGTCGGGTATACCGAAGTGTGTAGGGCGTGTAGGGCGACATCCCCACTAGATGGAGTGACAACCTGGTAAGACATGCAGGAAGTCGATGGATGCAGGTGGCTCAGGACCGTGTTTTGTGGCATTCCTTGGGAGAGGCCTATGTTCAGCAGTGAACTTGTGGAGGACTATAGTGATAGTGTGATATTTTTTTAGAAACATAGTATCTGGAGCTCTAATATAGTAGGGTATAATATTTTATAGTAGGGTATAAAATTATTATTTTTTATAATGGACTTGTTTGTACTTCCCGTTGCATTTTTCAAATAATTTCAAAATTATTCACCGGAAGGAAGTTAATGTACAACATTTTTTTTAAATTAAACTGTATGCCAATTAATTGCTCCTTAAATGCTCCAGTAGAATGCGAAATTGCTCTACCTCTATTGCTATTAGTTAATTTATAATTAATTAAAAAAAATGTAATTATCGAAAATTTAGTTTTGCTAAAAAACATAAAATATCTACTTTTTAAAATTAAACTGTATGAAAATTAATAGCTCCTTAAATGCTCCAGTAGAATCCGAAATTGCTCCACGTCTATTGCTATTAGTTAATTTATAATTAATTGAAAAAAAAATGTAATTATCGAAAATTTATTTTGCTATAAAACATAAAATATCCCCCCCGAGTTATTAGTTGGTCGTGGCGAAATTTACCTTCGTATTCTAATGATATTGTAGCAGTTTTTCATTGCCTGAAAACACGGATGTAACGACTTTTTCTAAAAAAGTATCCTAGCTAGTTCGATTTATCGCCTCTGAAAACCCTGCATACTAACGAGATTTCGATTATATACATATACAAGAATTGCTCGTTTAACAAATTGAGAGTAATTCTTAAAACAAGAAATAATTAATTATAAATTAACTAAAACTAACAGACGTGGAGCAATTACGGACTCTAAGAGAGCATTTAATGAGCAATTAATTGTCATACAGTTTAATTTAAAAAAGTAGATATTTTATGTTTACAGCAAAATAAAATTTTCATTAAATAATTTTTTAAAAATTAATTATAAATTAACTAATAGCAATAGATATGGAGCAATTTCGGATTCTACTGAAACATTTGAGGAACAAAAAATTGGCATGCAGTTTTATTTTAAAAAGTAGATATTTTATGTTTTATAACAAAATAAAATTTTCTACAGTAAATTTTTTCAAAAGTATAAATTAATTAATAGCAATACAGATGGAGCAATTTTGGAACCTACTGGAACATTTAAGGAGCAATTAATTGGCATACAGTTTAATTTTAAAAAGAAGATATTTTATGTTTTATAGCAAAATTAAATTTTGGATAGTTAAATTTTTAAAAAAATAATTATGAATTAACTAATAGCAATACAGGTGGAGCGATTTCGAATTCTACTGGAGCATTTAAGGAGCAATGAATAGGCATACAGTTTAATTTAAAAAAAATTAGATATTTTATGTTATATAACAATATAAAATTCTCGATCATTAAATTTTTTAAAATTAATTATACATACATAAACACTCACGCCTGTCACCCAGAGGGGTAGGCAGAGACTACGGACTTCCATTTGGCGCGATCCTGACACACCTCTCTCGCCTCCTTTACATCCATATATCTACGCATACACGCTCGTCGGTTAAGGGTACTCCTAATCTGGCCCATTTTTAATGTATCGCCGATTTGGTCGATAAACCTTCGTCTAGGGCGTCCCTTCCCGACCCTGCCGTTTACTTATGTAACATAAATTTGCTTTGTCACTCTTTCCTCGTTCATTCTTTCTACATGACCAAACCACCGAAACATTCCTTTCTTAATCCTTGTCACAACGTCATCTTTCAAACCACACTTTTCTCTTATCACACTATTTCTCACCCTGTCATTCAGATTCAGCCCTAGCATACTCCTTAAGGACCACATTTCTACAGCATTTATTCTACTCTCATGCTTCTTCTGCCAGACCCAACTTTCACTACCATACATTAAATTAGGGACTACCACAGCATTATGAATTTCCATACGTGCCTTATTTGACACATTCTGACTCCTCATAATAGCGTGTAGAGCCCCTTTCATTCTATTTCCTGCGTTCACTCGTCGTTCTATATCCTTATCATATCTACCATCCCTGCTAAATAAACATCCCAAATATACAAACTTATCTTGCTCAATCAACTCCCTTTCTATTCTTATTTCACATAACGTTTTACTTTCTTCTCTTTCAAAAACCATCATTTTCGTCTTACTTGCGTTCACTTTCATACTCCTTTCTTTCAATGACCAGTTTATTAAAGTAACGATAATTTGCAACTCGGCCGCCAACGATGCAAATATGACTTGATCATCGGCGTACAAAAGGCACTTGACGGTTAACTCACCCATTCTCAACCCACATTCTTCAACTTTCAAAGTTTGCAAACAACTGTCCATAAATAGGCTAAACAGCCACGGGGAAGCCACACATCCCTGACTGACACCTTTATGAATGCCAAACTAGCCCGAGTAGACCCGTTGATCCTGACACAAGCACTAGAATCCCTATAAAGAGACCTTAACGCCTGTATCAAGCCAGCGCTCAACCCAAATGAGTTCAGTGTTTGCCATAACACATTCCTGTCCACTCTGTCATAAGCCTTTTCCAAGTACATGAACGCACAAAAAACTTTCTGGTTTTGGCCAAAAACTTCTCCGCAATCATGTGCATGGAAAAGACTTGATCCGTACACCCCATCCCCTTTCTAAATCCAAGTTGCACATTCCAAATTTTTCCATCAGTTTCTTCCATAACTCTTTCAGTTAACACCTTAGCATACAGTTTACCCACAATGCTAAGCAAGCTGATACGAGGGTATTTTTTACAGTCCTGCTGCGAACCCTTTTTTTATATATTGGGACTATAACGGCTTTGCACCAGTCTTCCGGTACCCGCTTCAGTTACCAACAGAAATTAAACAAGGTGCACAGCAGGCCTGCAACCACACCCTCTCCAGCCCTTAGCATTTCGAGTGATATTCTATCATATCCGGCTGCCTTACCTGCTTTCATGCTTTTCATTGCTTTCATTATTTCATCTACACTTATCTCCCTACCTCTCTCCACTTCTTCCGGAATTTTTATTTCACTTACTTCAGACGACTCTTCACTCTTAAACACGCTTTCAAAGTATTCCTTCCATCTCTTTAAATTCGAAACTTCATCGTTCAGCATGCAGCCATTCTCGTCTTGAGTAGCATTCATTCTAGGCTGTTTTGAATTTCCCCTGGCAGTTCTTACGAGCTTCCAG